AATAAAACATGCAGTTTTAAAACATTGCTGGCTGTTCTGAACAGGAACAATATGACAGGTATGAAATGTACTGTGGATTCCCAGCAATAGCTCTGATTTCACATAGACATCAACTGGCTAACATTTCCATCATCCTAATTTAGCTTATTAGTAATAACTTCAAGTCAGGTTTAACTGAAGTTTTTTTGTCTCTTCTTTTTATTTCTTTTACAGCCATAATTTTAAAGGTGCTGTATTACTCTTCTAAAGCATTACAATACCATAATATGTTTGCAGATATTTAAGAAACATGCCAAGTGAACATGTGAACATTCTTGTTTATATGAAAAACAATGCTGAAGTCAGTTATTCTGCTTTGAAAATGTGAGTTACGTGCCGAAAAGAGATTTGTTGTGCCTTCTATTATCAGCATTTTATATATTTAAAGAAAAAATCTATAAATTATAAAAAAAAATAAATAAATAAATATATATATAGGCAACACAGTGGCGCAATAGGTAGTGCTGTCACCTCACAGCAAGAAGGTTGCTGGTTTGAGCCCCGGTTGGTTTGAGCCCCGGTTGGGTCAGTTGCCATTTCTGTGTGGAGTTTGCATGTTCTCCTCATGTTGGCGTGGGTTTCCTCTGGGTGCTCCGGTTACCCCTACAGTCCAAACACATGCGCTATAGGTGAATTGATTAAGCTAAATTAGCCATAGTGTATGTGTATGAACGTTAGAGTGTATGGGTGTTGCCCAGTGCTGAGTTGCGGCTGGAAGGGCATTCACTACTTAACACATATGCTGGATAAGTTGGCGGTTCATTCCACTGTGACGACCCCTGATTAACAGGCTGAAAAGAAAATGAATTAATGAATAAAATTGTAGAAACGAACTTGTTTTGGCAGATAACATCCATTTGTACCAGTTTTTCTACAAAACCATAATAAACAAACTAGGGTAGCGTCTACCACACAAATTAACCATGGTTTTGCGACACCAACCATAGTTTTACCATGGTAAATGTTGTAAAACTATGGTTATACAAATGAAAAGCACCAATAAACTGCAGTTTTACGATCAAAACCCTGGGGTAATTTTCATAAAGGCGTCGTTAATTTTAAACTGTCCGTCACAGTAGTTGTTCACATGCGTCTGGTAAGAGCTAGCTAGTTATTTAGCAAGCTAGTTAGTCAGTAAATCACTCAGATAGTTAGCTTGCTAGTTAGTTAGCTAGTTAGTTGAGTGGACACCGGTCGGAGCTCGCGCTGGCTCCTGTTGCCACAGCAACCACTGAGGAGAAATCAGTGCAGCTTCAGATGCTGTAGCATTACCGCAATGAGGGGGATGTAGCAGTTGTGGTCGGACAGATGGGACCTCAAGATTGACTGTGACTCACCACAAAGCGACGAGAAAAGCAAAATGTGTCCGTAATAGACGATTGTTTCATTGGACTGGAGGGTCGAAGCTGGACGCGACCGTTTTCGAGCCACATTCAAGACCTCAGGGTGAGTGTCACTGGCGAAAACTGCGGATTAGCATGATGTATAACGAGAGTTTGGCCATTCAATTATTAATTTGCATCAAATGTTGATGTGTGTTTGAACATCTGATGAACGTCTACGGCAACGCGACTTTTTCTCTCCTTCCAAAGGCGAATATATGCGTGTCAGATTTGTTTTAATAATTAATTACATTTATCCGAGCCGTCATTTAAATATTAAAACGACGTATGAGTTAGGAAAGCGACAGCTAGATCTAAAATCCTCAATGACAAACCATTGTACGGTTCGGCGACAGATTGGCAGTCGATAGAAATGTGATTTCTTTTACATTACTTGTGTTTTCTTCCACACAAGAGTCATTTTGTAGTGTTAGCAGGCTGTATCTGTAGTTATTGTGATATTGCTGGTTTAAAATTTACCTGAATTTATATATATATATATATATATATATATATATATATATATATATATATATATATATATATATATATATATATATATATATATATAT